AGAAAATCGATACTTTTGCAGAAATCGCTCAAACAAGAGAGACTCAAACTTTGAGGCCTTTTAGTTTCTAAAAATCGAAACTTCTTTTGACCTTTGATTTTTTGCTACCATTATTTTGTACTTGTAATTATTAACAGCGTGAATGTCGCCTAAATTTTCTTTGGTGAAGCCTGCAACGAACGCTGAATACTGCCCAGTATTCGGAGCAATGACTTTGGCCTTAAATGCAGATTTTCCTTGGTCTGAGCCTTATTAAATCGAACAGCATTTAACATTTGCTTACTTCATTTTCACCGATCGACTAATTTAGTCTAATCCGAGCCGTTAGTTGCTACTAAATTGTGCCTTAAGTAGGGAGGCCACATTAAGTGACTGATATTTTCCGTGGTCTTTTTACGAACCTCGAAAGTGGAGTGAGTACCCTACAGCTTGAACCTCGCATTACCGCGTGATAGGGCTCCTCAGATGTGACAGGATTTTTGTGGACTCACTACTGCTAGGGATGCGATGCAATCGCTGTGCCTCGTAGTGTGGATTGGGATACTCTGTTTTCAAAAAAAAAGCATCACTCTAAAATTCTGTAACCATTACATACTTTGTACTGGATATAGACTCCTCAGAATATACATTCTGAAATGCTAACATTGAGCAATCTACTGATGGGTGGGGATGGCATCATAGCGATTGCTTTCGTTTCTTGAAAGGCGAATGTACAAATAGGTCGGGTGGCCAATGGATGAAGAATTGGAAGCAATTTTTACAGACGAAATAGACGAGGAGTTCAAGAGGAATTTGTCGAAATTGGAACAGTCTGGCACCACTCAGACACAAGATGTATTCTTCTCAAATCGCTTCGATGTTGTGGTTCCCGAAGATGCGGAACAGAAGACAAATCGTTGCTTGGCTTGCCTAAAAGGTTCGTGCATCAGTGCCATTTTAGCTCTACATACCAAGGCAAGCCTGCTTAAAGTCAGTCGACAAGCCGAGACATTCAAAGAGAATTAAATCCAAAACACTGAAGTGCTTTTCATTGTCTTGAGTAAAAAAAATATGCCAAGAACACGGGAAAGTAGGTCTACCTTTGGTACATTTCCAGTCCGTCTGTTTAAGGGTTGTACATTCCTTTCTCGGGCAATCAAAATATAAATTTTTGCCACTTAAGGTCAAGAGCAGACGTAAAACGGGTGTTAATGTTTTAGGCATTTGGGCCACGCGCAACAAGGAAATAAAGGAAGATAAGGAAACAATCATTAGAACTACCGTGCGAGACATACTGATATATGCCGGATTTATAACCGTCATACTAATAAGTAAGTCGAACTCCCTTTGTGTGGAAAGCTCTAAGCGTGCTGAAGATGTCTGTTGCTTGAGGGTGTTTAGGTCTTGCAGAATGACTTGGAGTGAGAGAATGAATGATGACCACAATAGAGCAGAGCCACCTCCGAGTGTTTGCAATTGAAGCAGTGCACTTTGCACCAGTAATGAGAGTTAAATGAGGTTGAGCGGAAAAGAAAGTGCTTTTCATGTTCCAATACAGTCTGGTCAGCATATGGGCATGTCTGGGTGTGTTTCAGACTGCTGTGTCGTACTGCTGACTGTGTTCGTGT